TTGCTGTATACAGCTTTGTAGCAAGATCATCTAAGGATGCATGATCTTGCCACCATTATAAGGCTACAGATGTCTCTGTGGCGCAATCGGTTAGCGCGTTCGGCTGTTAACCGAAAGGTTGGTGGTTCGAGCCTACCCAGGGACGTTCTGTGCTTAAATATCATGGAAAATATGACTACTGTTACAGATTACAGGAAAAGACATAATGAATTCTGGAATCCAATTTACCACTCATCTAACGGGGTTCCTCAGTTCTCACTGACTGGTTGCAAGTCGATACAATTTATTCTTCTCCCCAAAACACATGGCTCATTAAAGACCCAAGATCTACATGTCTCAAGGTGTGAATGGTTGTGAAACTGCAGCTGAGGTAAGGCATGGCAAGGTAATTTCTGTATATGGCTTTGCAGCAAGATCATCTAAGGATGCATGATCTTGCCACCATCATAAGGCTATAGATGTCTCTGTGGCGCAATCGGTTAGCGCGTTCGGCTGTTAACCGAAAGGTTGGTGGTTCGAGCCCACCCAGGGACGTTTTGTGCTTAAATATCCAGATAATATCATGGGAAATATGACGACTGTTACAGAAAACTACATAATGACTTCTTGAAACCAATTAACCACTCATCTAAAAGGGTTCCTCAGTTCTAACTGACTGCTTGTGAGTCTCTACAATTTATTCTTCACCCCATAACACATGGCTCATGGCCCAATAAAGACCCAAGGTGTGAATGGTTGTGAAACTGCCAGGTGAGGTAAGACATGGCAGGGTCATTGCTGTATACAGCTTTGTAGCAAGATCATCTAAGGATGCATGATTTTGCCACCATCACAAGGCTACAGATGTCTCTGTGGCACAATCAGTTAGCGCGTTCGGCTGTTAACCGAAAGGTTGGTGGTTCGAGCCCACCCAGGGACGTTCTGTGCTTAAATATCATGGAAAATATGACTATTATTACAGGAAAAGACGCAATGAATTCTCGAATCCAGTTTGCTACTCATCTAACAGGGCTCCACAGTTCTAACTGACTGCTTGCGAGTCCCTACAATTTATTCTTCTCCCCAAAACACATGGTTCATTAAAGACCCAAGACTACCTGCCTCAAGGTGTGAATGGTTGTGAAACTGCAGCTGAGGTAAGGCATGGCAAGGTAATTTCTGTATATGACTTTGTAGCAAGACCATCTAAGGATGCGTGATCTTGCCACCATCATAAAGCTACAGATGTCTCTGTGGTGCAATCGGTTAGCACGTTCGGCTGTTAACCGAAAGGTTGGTGGTTCGAGCCCACCCAGGGAAGTTTTGTGCTTAAATATCCAGATAATATCATGGGAAATATGATAACTGTTACAGATTACAGAAAACTACATAATGACTTCTTGAAACCAATTAACCACCCATCTAATGGGTTTCCTCAGTTCTAAGTGACTGCTTGCGAGTCCCTACAATTAATTCTTCTCCCCAAAACTCATGGCCCATTAAAGACCCAAGATCGACATGCCTCAAGGTGTGAATGGTTTTGAAACTGCCAGTTGAGGTAAGACAAGGCAAGGGACTCGCTGTATATGGCTTTGTAGCAAGACCATCTAAGGATGCGTGATCTTGCCACCATTATATGCCAACAGACGTCTCTGTGGCGCAATCAGTTAGCGCGTTCGGCTGTTAACCGAAAGGTTGGTGGTTCGAG